AAAATATATACCTGCTCTTTTGTAAAGTGACATTGCGGCGAAAAAAAAAGACTAATAACATGATACCCACATAGTTTTGAAAATATTTTACCAACTGAAAAAAATGTTCTAACTCGAATAATTATTATCAACTATGACAAATAATTCAAAACGTTTATAATCTATGTATTCAAATGCTTTTGTTATTGTAGGTATTAAACCTGTCCATTAGAAGTCATTTTCTGGCGTAACTATTGGACGGATTTTAATTTTAAATTTTTCTAAGGGGCTAAATAGCCTATTTCTGATTTGGATATTACAAATTAGTTATTTTTTTTATAAAAAAGTAACAGTACAATAGCTCAAAATACAATTTTTGAAAACACAAATGTTAAATTAGCTCTTAGCTTCTTTTTACATTTTTTTTTTAATTGGAAATGTTGTTTATTTACAAACTATACAGAATAATATGTATAATAGTAATCCGATGACGATGACAAAGTGACATTAATGTTAGAATAGTAAGACTCTCAGCAGTGCCACCTGACAAGAATAATAATTAAGATTTTATGCGTTAAGCAGGTCCATTGTCTTTTTAATCTTCTAGGAATAAGTGCGACAAATGATAATTTTTTAATTAGTGGATCGGAATGAGAGTATAATTTTGATTAAAATTTGGTGTAGTCGAATTTGACCAGTTTGTTGAGGTTGGTAGTTTCAAGTTCATAGTGGAGGTTTTTGTTCGTTACATCTGCCAAGGGGCAGAGGCAAATTGACTGAAACGCTTGAAGGATTTTGGTGATGGACAGCTTAGCAGTCCCCCAAAGTTGGATGCCGTAGAGCCAGACTGGACGAATTATCGACTTGTACATAGTAAGCTCATTTACTAAGGACAATTTTGATTTTAAAAGTGGTCTTAGGAGGTGCAATCTGGAGTCGACATATTTGCGTTTTTGTTTTAGATGTGAGCAAACGGTATTTAAACTTCTGAACCAGATGGTCTCTAAAGGTAGTCCAACTCAATAACTATACTAACCTCTTATTATGTTGATTTATACACAAGCCACAAAATTAGAGACTTTCGTGTACAGTATTTCATGATAAAAAATAATTTTATACGGTTGTTGTTTTGTTTTATGGCATTATGTTTTGTTATTAGTATTTTCAATCAAATGATTTTAATCACCTCATGTTTTATTGATTTAATATTAAATAAAAGCCTAAAAAATAATAATTTAAGGGTAATATAAGTTTGACTTGATTTACAAGTCCTGGTCGATTTGGAGTAGAACACCCCAATACTAGTGATAGATTTCATTAGAAACTGTTAAAAAATAATAGTCTACGCCGATCTCCTAACACTCTAGGGGGTATTATAACGTGCTCTTTGTTGGAATAATATTTTACACAACAGGATGTATTAGTCACAATAACATGTTGTTTATCATTATAATATACCTAGTACGTAGTGGAATGTCAAGGAAAAGTTGAGCAATAACAAAGTTGTTTTTTAAATACACACACATATTAATATTAAACATTTTATTTTTTACACTCATTTAACCCTTTTATTATTTGAAACACTTCAGAATAATGATTTTATTCCAACATTATTTGTTTTCATTAACATGTATTATGTTAACTTTTGTCATGACTGAAATAACTATTTATCAAGTTAACTTTCAACGTAAATTAAAAAAAAAAGTTTTGAAAATTGTGTTTCTTTTAATGTTTTTTTTTATAAATAAAAACAAAATAGCACAAAATTTAAGAAATTGGTGTTTATTTGAAAAGTAGAAGTTATTTTGGAGTCATTAACGTCGTTTAGAAGTATTGTATTTTGAAACATTTTTAGAAAAATTAAAACATTTTTTAAACAAATTTAAACATATTATAATAATCAAACTTTATTCAAATCAGATAAAAAGTCTTCTATGTCATAGCTGGTCCCATATAAGGCGTATTAACGTTGATATGATTAATAAAAAAAAACGACGACCTATCGTTTCATTCCATGTTCTCTTATCTGCCACTTCTTCTTGCCTATCTTTAAGGAATCGTTGTACGTCTATATTTTTTGAATCGCAAATGTGTCCAACAACTTTCTCAAATTTTGCAAAATCTAAAGTAACTAAAACAAAAAAACGAAAATTTTGCATTCAATTATAAATATAAACAATATATTATTATGTTATTATAGGGATGACCTTATAATAACATAATAATATATTGTTTATATTTATAATTAAATGCAAAATTTTCGTTTTTTTGTTTTAGTTACTTTATCATGGTGTGGTGCAGTGGTCACTTCAGTTGTCGATAAAACCGTTTATTTTAGCTGAAATCTATTGTTTTTATAATTATGTGTTTTTAATTGTTGAAATTTGTGTCCGAACTAGTGGGAGCAAATTTTTGTATTTTTTTTCTTTGAGCATAACTTAAATCTCACCAATTTTTGTATATATTATATTTTTTTGGTAATTTTTCACATTTTTCGGACGTCAATAGCTAAACACTTTTAAGATATTTGCATACGCTGTTTGATAACATCAAAAATTTAATCGTTTGTGTTGTTAAAAAAAAAAAAAAAACATTTTTCAGCCGAGTCTGCAACCACGAAAGAACATGTCTTGTTGAAGTACTGAATAAATGTAGAGTAGCGGTGGAATTAAAGATGATGAAATAATATATTAACAAGTTGGCATCTAAGGTGGCTAGTAAACAAATCAAATTTCTGGCTAATATTTTAGTGTTTAATATTTGGCTTAAAACAATTCATAAAAATATGACCTCTTAAATTATTGAATTCATTTTAGTTTAGCTCTAGTTTGAACGTTGTGAATGCAACATATACGTCCCCAACCCCATCCCTCATCTCTAATCTCTTATCTCCTATCTCCTATCTCCTATCTCTTACTCCCTATCTCCCATCTCCTATATCCTATTTCTTACGTCAATAGCTAAACACTTTTAATATGTTCACCTACGCTGTTTGATAACATCGAAAATTTAATCATTTGTGTTGTTAAAAAAAAAAGGATACTTAAGTAGTTTAATTTATATAAATTAAACTACTTAAGTATGCCGAAATGCCGAAGAGAATACTTTGACAAAACCAACTACTTCAAAGTTTGACTTCAAAGACAAAAAAAAATGTGTGATATGATGTATAACGTATATATTTAATTAATGTTTACCATAATATTCACGTGGTTTGTTGACTGGATCAATTGCATATAAACTCTGTATAATATCGTCAATATTCTTGACCTTTTTCGCAAACTTGAGAAAATCAGCCATTTTAATTTTACCACTTTCTTCTACAATATTGTTATCTACGAGATATGATAAAGCTTCATCGAACAAATCTTTCATAGCCTGAAATTGTTTTTATCAATACTGTTGTAATACTATACATAAATATAGTATCAGAGTGCGAGTAGTGATGATAATCAAGTATTCAACACAAATAAAGTTATTACAATAATAGATATATTATACATAGAATATATACAACACAGTGAAACAGTAATACACTAGTAATATGTATAAACTGAATAGAAATACTGAGCCCCGAGCCTTTAGATCAAATGCTATTTATATTAACCCACAAGGTTGCACGCGTCTACACATACACGTGTGCTTACAAAAACAACTTTGTTTTTCTATAACATTTCCTGGTTAACAACTACGTATTTTTATTATACAGATAAACAACATATTTATATATTGTGAAATACTTCCTGATATATAGAATATTAATTATTATTCCAACAGTTTTTGGGTACTATTGATATATTTTGGAATGCAAGTGCGTCAGCGACGTCATCCTCACAGCCGCTGAAAATCATAAGCTTACCGCCCATCTTTAAAATTGGTAATTTAGCACGAATGAGTTCGCTTAATTTTTTTGGTTTAAACCTAAATTGAATTCTATGTTAGGATTTATTAACAATTATGTTATTACTAGGTACTTAGAGTAGGTAAAACGCCCGACCAGGTTATCGTTTTATAGCAAATAAACCAAAATATTTGTCAATCTGCAAAATTTCAATTTTAAATAGCTAAAATTTGCCGCAGAAAATTCAGGTTTTGTCTGAAATAGTTAATACATCTTCATGTTGATAAAACATTTTTAACACTCAGTTAATTAAATGTAAGGATCTGAGTGGATATAATGTAGTTCATCACGTTAAAATAACAATGGCTTTGCTAAATTGTTTTAAATAAGTAACTATAGTTCCCATATGAATTTGATTCGATATTTTTTTTTTGGATTAATAAACAATCGAATCTTATCATTTGAATAATGCGTATTCATTATCTATGACCGTTTGCACGAATTGTTTTTTAGTTCAGTATTGTGTACATTGTAATGTTGTTTAACATTGCAAAGGCAGCAATTGTAAATAAAAACAAAAAAAATGCCATTTTGCACAACACCTAAACTAATATCCATTTTGAACAAGACATTGCCAACTGACGATTTACAACGATTCACAAAACAAAACGAAAATTCTATTATTTTTTAAAGTACCTATATTCATAACCTAACCTAGAATACAAAACTGAAAAATACAGAATGAACTAGAACACAATAAAGGCTATAATAAAAAAAAAAAAAAATAGAACGAAGGCATCTAGTAATTCTATATTACATATTATTTTGTATGACCGCAAACTCGTTTTACATGTGTTAATAAATCGACAGTTGACAGGTACATTTGACAAAGTAAATTTTCATTATACTGTTGTTTCTTGTATTGCCGTTGAAGAGGCAGGCGAACCACCCCTATATTGTATATCCCCAAAAAAATCAAAAACATTTATTGATATGAACATTAAGTACTAGAAAGTAAGAGTAAGTATTAGAAAAAACATCTGTCAGCGCTACAACAGGGTGCACAGCGTCTTTATTTTTTTGAATAGTAACAAGTTGTATTGATACATTCCAATTCATACTATTAAGTTTGAAGTAAGCAGTATATAAGTATAAAAACAATAAATAAACAACAGGCGTGTCATTAAATAGTGAGGAAAACTGTTTATTTATTATATACGTTCAAAATTATTTGACAATAAAGATATGTGCGAGTTATGTAAAGCATGAGTTAAATATATTTATAATAGTACCATACAATATATGTATTAAATATTAAAAACAAACTGGTGTGAGAAATCTAATATAATATTTATTTAAATACTTTAATAAAGATATTAACTTAAAACATTAACCGTTAATTATCGTAATATTTCTGTATCTAGTAACTGACTATAAAGGTGTCCGAATTTACCTTGTATTAATACATGAGGTTGACCACGGTTTACTTCTCGAAATTCGTGGTCTCGTACTATGTACTTTCTTTCGCCGCCCATTATACCTATAACGGCGCAAATAGGACCAGTTTCATGCGCAGTGTCAGTACTTCGATCTTCATCAACACGCACAGCTCGTGCGAAATCGTAGTTAATACAACTCGATGCCAATCCTACTATAAAACATCTCTCATCATCAGTATAACGATGATCTTGGTCTAAAAAAATATGAAAAAAATTAATTGTCAAATGTAGCTGCAAGATACAAACAATACAAGTGTACAATAAAAAATATAGGAAAAAAATAAAACTCTAGACATTTTTAAAAAAAAAAACATTATTATTGAAATCATTTAAGTTATGATGATAACTGTTATGATGACTATAGTCATCATATTATGTACACGATAATATAATGCAGTACCAGTTTCGTTATCTTAATACCCTAATAAAGTAGACCCACACACACTCACGATCATTTAACTTTTTTTGTAGTGTTTTTATACAACGTGAACTCAATTTTTCATTCTGTATAGTATACTACACAGTAATATGGTATATACTATGGTTAAAAGAGCAATTAAATTATAACAATATAATACTTACGCTGCAAAGGTAAAAAAACATCTTCCATGAGGAGACTCCACAAAGCTTTTCTAGTTTTTTTCCTTAGGATATTTGCAACTTTTACTATTTCTCCAAGTTGTGGAATAGGATCTTCTGTAATACACAATACAATTGCCAGTACAGTGAGTTCTAAGCATAGCGGGAACGTACCAAATTGAAATAGGAGAGGTTACAGTTCTATTTTCAGATATGTAAAAAATATTGTCAATAACTTATTTATTCATTCATTTTTTATAAACGGCCAAAAACTCTTGAAATGTAATATAAAATGAAACAGCCAGCAAAAAAGAATATAAAACAGAATTATGAAAAAGAACAATAACATATTATAGTACATAATATACATTATATTAATTCTGAGGTGGCACGAAGGAGAATCAAAATATTATTCTTGAACTTAGAGCGTAAAGTTTAAAGAAATAAACTTACAGAGTCAACTAAAATTCACGTCACTTCTATTTAGAAAATTATGCATTTTAAACATTTTTTGATAATTATTTTTATAATAATAATTTTATGTAAATAAATCAAAAGAAAAATAAATACCAAAATATCTAAGACAAAGACACAGATCATAATAAAATTCAGAGTAAAACACAATTAAGTACTTCAAGTTTTGGTAGCATTTTATAACGGTAAGAAGTTAAACAGTTAACCTACAAATAATGACACCACTTTTTTATATAATAGATTATATTAATGATTTTTTACTGATAGCTTTCATTCCTGCCATTAACGAGGCGTGAACTGCTTCTTTTTAATTCAAGAAATTTCAACTGATAATTTAAGTCTAAAGAGCTATTTATGACTAACTAATAAAATAACTAATGCATGCTTACCTGGTGAAGGCAGATTAATAGCTGCAACAAAAATATAACATCTCAATATAATCGGAAAAAAGTCTCAGATGGAGACACTGTGTAACTGATAGTTAAAAATATAGTAAAGAAGACCGGTAAAGCGTTTAAATTTGTTTATTTAGTATTAAGGCGGCAACGACTAGGGTTGGTTGTTTGACAATATGACCCTTCATTGTCATAATTGCCATATTTTCTAAATCTTAACACTAACATCCAACTACGTTCAACTCAAAAAATAAATCTGGCTGGTAAAAAATAACTTAATTGAGTCAATGTAGTCATTAAATTTAATAGTTGTAATATCAGTTGCAATATTTCGGTAACGATTTTTAATGGTAAATACTAATAAAATGTGCATGCATACGTGTCCGAGGCGGTTTCTTAGCTGTAACAACAATATATCACAATTAATATAATTGGAAGAAGTCGGAGAGAAAATCGAAAGAAAGATAAATATCCAAGTCTCTGACAAAAACACTCTATGTAACTGATAATTAATTATAAAGCGCTTAAACTTGTATTTTTTAAACTTTAGATTTCAATGCTGCCGAAATTGAGAAGTAGACTGCTTCTTTTAAATTCGAGTAATTTCTAGTAAATTAGATTGATAATCTAAGTGTAAAGAGTTATTTACTTACTTATCGAATTTAGCGGTACCGGTTCAAGACCTGTTACGAAAATATAAAATGTCAAAATAAAACAATACACGAATAAAAACCATTTTAAACATTTTTAATTAGAATTCACAATAAAAATGATTTTAGTAGGAAGTCCCGTTTGAATTAACGATGTACATAGATTTACGAACAATCATTTTACGTTAGGTAAGTAACATATCGCATTATGAATTTGAAACAAATAATCTAATGTTTATCTTTTTTTATTTTTTTAACTTATTGATCATTTTTAATTTACCTGTAACACTGGTTAATTCCTGTTGAAATCGTAATTGGAATTCCACGTATCCTAAAAGTGAAAAAAAGTTAAATTTTAATGTACACCTTAATTCAAAATTGAAATCCTCATAGAAGTACATAAATGTTCTCGATCTATATTAGTTATGTACGTATGGTAGTAGAAAGCCTTTTAAGTTTGGAAAGTTATAAAAGTAATTATTACTGTTTAGATTTTCACGTTCCGCACGGTCTGAAATTAAAACAAAAACACGTTTATACCTAATGAAAAATCAAATAACTGTATTGAAATATAACCACAAAAAGCTAAGCAAACTAATACCTGGTATTGCCACCATAAACTTCATTTTATCTGAAATTAAGACAACACAAATTGATTACATGTTCAATTATATTGAAATTAATTTTATTATTAAGACAAAAATCAAGATACAAAATAAATGTTTTTAAATTATTCGGTAAAAATATGATTTTATTTTATTTTATTAAGTGCAGTGAAAATGTCATCATTATAAATTAGTAATTTAAAGCAGACGTAGGGTAGAATAAAATATAAAGATTATCTAATGTTGAAAGAACTAACACTATTGTTGTATATCAGGAAGAATCATTTAGATTTAAGAGTGAAATTTAAAATTTATATCACGAATTCAAATCAGGTTCTTAATATCGTGTATAGAATCCAGCCAGAGCTGCAATTATGTGATGTATAAAAGATAATATAAAATATCGATTTCTTATTAAATTTCTGGCACGAGCACAAAAATCTAACTTAATACTTTCATCTGGTTATATTTATGTTTTTATTATAAAATAGTTTATAACTACCAAAGGCGAAATCAGTATGACCTGATATAACCATTCTTTTTATGGTATACTCGAATGCATCTAGAATAATCAAATAATAGTTAAAAATATAAAATCATAATTTAAGTATAAATTCTCAAAATAAAAGTATAAAATAATTAAGTGGTGACTATTTAACTTATTGCTAGTTACTTACTCTGTATGTTAAATAACCACACAGCCATTATATTATATCAGTGTATTATTTTAAGTTTTCCTTACTTAATTTTTCATGACGAAATGACTTTATGCGAACAGCACGGTCAATAAGTCCATCTAAATTTATTACATTTAAATTACTAAATTATTTAAATAATTTACTTTCAATTTTTTTTTTCAAAAACAAAAAACTTAAAAGCAATTATGTATGAAAAAGAAGGTTACTGACTTGTACTGTAAACCGCTTTATAATAATCCCCTGTGAAAAAAATTAGGTTTAGTTTTTTTCTTTTTTAACCTACTCGAATACGTAAAATAAATAATTACTCATATTATAGGCCAAGACATTCAAAAAGGCACATGACATTAAAACATAATAAAGTTGCATTTTTACCTGCAAATAATAAAAATACATTATATTAATCGCCATAAATACACCTAATCATTTTCATTAGAAAAGGTGCAAATATTTTTTTAATTGCACTCTTTTAGAATAGTCAACCCTTTATATATTTTTTTTAAGAAAAGCAAAAAATAAAATTAATTTAATGTCGTGGTCAAGTTATGGTTGTTACGGAACATTAATACTGGAACGGATAGTTCTAGGTGTTCAGTAAATTAATACAAATGAAAGTGATAAAATTATTTTCAGAAAAGAACCTTATGTGCAAAACTGTTGATAGTCATTAACAGTTAGTGTAACTTATTATATTCACAGTAAATGGGGAAAGAAATAGGTCTTATCAACGTTTAACTTTACAATAAATACATTGGGAAATTCGATTACAAAAAAGACCATAATTAAAAAGTTGTTTACGATTTATTAAGTTTTAAATCGTTTTTCTTTTCTTTTATTTTTCCGACAGTAGAAAAATATAAAAAAAAAACTTTTAAATTAAAAACTGTAAAAATGCTTTAGAATATATTTATTGAAACTAGCAGGGCGGTTAAAAAATTATCGCAAGCCTAATACACAAAAAAAGGTAAAACTAAATAAACCTATGAAAAAATTCAATTATAAAACTAATGCTATTATTTCAAAAAAATATTTCATACGTTAATGTTACGAAAAAGTTTGAGGAAAAAATATGAAATATTAGAAAAAAATGATATAAAATGCGTACTTACCAACTTTGAAGACTAAGTCTGTTACTTGCTAATATTATAATTTTAACGATCAAGTATTTTAGTAAATTTAGGACAGTTTGTTAAAATGTCTTAAAGTGATTTTCTTGCGATATGTAGATGGGTTTATATAACGACGGAAAAAAGTAAAACCATAATATATTTTGCAGGGTTCCTTTGTTTAATTATTTACATAGCCGGGTTTTTTTTTACAATACGATTGCATATTTACATTATTCTGACGCAGTCTTAAAGCTGTTTTTCTTATTTTTTGTTTTTCAAATCGATATTCAAACCAATGTTTGTATTGAAATTTGTATTCGTATATTGCTTTTTGTTCTATTCCATCGACTAAAAATTGCACATAGCTTTTTATTTTATAGTTCTTCGCTATATTTCTTCGTATGATGAAAAGAAATTAGAAGTAGATATTTAATAATATTTCATTTTCAATGCGACAGCTGCAAAGGTATCGGTTTTGTATTAATGTGTTTTTTTTTTTGTCTGTACTCACAGTAACTTCGAGGATTATACCGAACCATCAAAAGTTGACAATTTCACAAAATGTACTATTTACATAAGATTTGCGCACATAGATATTTTATTATTTTACAGCTACTGCCTTTAACAATCCGTGAAACGAAAAGTAATTTGAATAAAAAAAAAAACCTTGCGCGAACGATTACAGACAACGACTACGTGTGTAAAGTATGGCTTTCGGCCGATATACATAAAGCATAAAGCCAGTACAATTGGGACGGGAATTGAGTTGGACCCAGCTGACTGAATGTGATAAAATCACATATAAATAAACGTTTCTAAGTGAATCTATAGAGAGATACAACTATCGTTACTAATAGTATTGTAACGACATGTATTTTAACTATTAGGTTGGTTACGATTAGGGTTGGTCGTTTTTCTGTTAAAATACGTTGCCGTTGTTACCCATATATGGTAACCAAAGATAAAATGCAAATATATTGCAGATGCCTATTGACTGTTAATCCAATCTCACTAATTGCAACTTACAAATGACAGTTATCAAAGTTTAATTTTTCCCTTTAGCTGGGTTGCAGATTTTTTAGAAAATTGTATATTCTAGAAAAATCTTTGGAATGCTGAAAAAATAAATTTGTTTTAATACAAGTCAAAACGTAACTATAACTATAATCAGTCCATAAGGTATTTTCATAAGCTTTTAAACGCAGTAGAATATAGACCCAGGTGTATTAAAAATGTACATAGTTAAGCATAGTTAAAAAAAAAAACATAGTATGCCTTGGTGTTGTTTAAATGGAAAATGGATAATACCTTTGCGACTAGCTTGATATTTTAATTGTAAGTTACTTAGTTAAATTTTAGCTAGACACCAGAATTTGGTGTTATGGCTATTTAGAAATGGAGTTTTAAAAAACCAAACTGCACACATTTGGTTTTTGTATGTCATTATGAGAAATGTGGCGCTTGTGTTTTTTTTTGTTAAATAAATTTATCGCTGTAACATAAAATGTGGCGGTTTATTATTTTTTCTTGTCTTGATTTATTATGCTTAACCATAAAAAAACATCCAACTACACAGTAACTAAAAATGTAGCAGTATTATATTTGTATAACCGCAAGACTAAAAAAATTCAATTTAATGTATTATTGTTGCGTTGGTTGGGTTACGACTTGTGGCGGTAGACCATTTTGTTGATAACAAATGTAGTAATTGACCTGTAACCTTAATTAAAACGAAAAACTCGTCGCCTTTAATAGAAGCTAAAAACCCTGCGAAGCTAAAAACACATGCAATCTATTTGACGGATGTTTATGTTGAGACTTATGAGTCTTAATTAACTTCTTAATCTCGAGTAAAAACATAAAATATTGAATAACACAACAAGGTATTGCCACTTATTTGTATTTACTTATTGTGATTATTGTAGATATTTATTATTCTTTTCGTGTATACAAATTGTCTCGCAAGCAATACAATTTTAAAATGAATAACTTAAATTTATATTTGTAAAAAACTTACATACTACATATTATACAATACATTATATTAAACATGCATGTAGTTTGTAGCTATTAGTATAGAAATACGAAATCTAAACTCAATTCATACCGAATTGTCTTCCAACATGTTTTATTTAAAAATATATTGTAGATAGCTAGAGAAAGGAAGGAATGCAGAGAAAATCGGAGAAGGATGTAAGATAACATAATCAGGGAAGACTAGTATCGGCAATGGTGTAGGAGTGATAGTAGATGAGTAGATGAAAGCAAACGTGATAGAAGTTGTTAGTAAAAGTGATAGAGTAATAATAGTAAAACTAATTCTAAGGAATAAGGAGTTGAATGTTAATGGTCTTAGATTTCTAGTGTGAAGGAAAGAAAGTGAACAAGAGGAAAGGTACAGATAAATAAAGTGCCGAAAATTAGGCCGTGAAAGTAAACTGGTGAAAAAAGCTTGCATACGAATCCCCAACACCATGGGATACATTTTTATGTTGAAATATTTTTCGTTACTAACCCAAAATAAATACTTGGTTTGTAACAATGGGAACCACGGTACTCGAAAGGTAGGTGATGATTCATTTTATGTTGTGGCCAAAAGTTTTTAAGTAGTTTTTTAATAATTGGCCTTAATTGATTTATTGGCAAAACATTCACTTGCCTAGTTATTTTGAATCAATTTAACCATTCATTAAAGTTTGTTAGTTGTGAAAACAACATATAATTTTAAAAATGTGAATATAACATATATGCCCCTCCCCCATTCCCACCCACAACCCCATTCCCAACCCCATCCCTCATCTCTGAATCTCCTATCTCTTACCCCTATCTCCTATATCCTATCACATTAATGTAATATTTTCATTTCCATTCCACACCCAGTCCAGCCTCATACCCGCCCCATCCCCATTTCCATCTCCATTCCCACCCTCATAAGAAGGACATATAAGGATATAGTTTCTATATACTTCTATATTATAGAAGGATATGTATAAGGATAAATTTTCGATGTCGGTGTCGATTTTTCCGGTTGTATTCCAAAGTAAAAATCATATCTCTTATCTTTTATCTCTCTTATGTTATCAGATAAATCAGCTGATTTTTTTCGTTATGATAACCGGTGTCGTTAATTGGTGTAGATTTTTCGTGTGTATGTGTGCCAAAGGAAAGACATAAAAATGTCAACAAAAGTTATTTGTGAGGAAAATGAAGGAAGAAGATTTGTGGTTTTATGGAGCATGGAGAGAAAAGTAGATGACATTTGGAATAGGTTAGTAAATGGTATAAAGACGGTAGCAGTGGATGTTGTAGGTGAGAGTAAAGGTAGTATGACACAGAAAAAGAGAGGATGGAAAAAGACTCAGTTTTTTAAATAGCAAAAAGATAGAAGGAGAGAGGATTGGTTAGAGTACAAACGATTAAATAAAAAAGCAAAAAAGGTAGTGAAGCAAGCAAAAAGTATGATAGTTTGTACGAGAGATTAGGAACAAAGGAGAAGGAAAAACGTATGTATAAATTGCCCAAGATTTAAAAAAAAAAGTCCAGATATTTTTAGAATGTGTGGTGTATGAAAGAGTAAAATAAATAAGTTCTGACGTGTCATGAGGATGTGAAAAAGAGATGGCAAGAGTACTATGAAAGGCTATTGAATGAGGATTGTTCAAGGAGGAAAGAGAGCAGGTATCATTTAATTTAAGTATGGTGAACTTAACTAGGAGGAAGCAGTGTGGAATGCGGTTAAAAAGATGAAAATAAAGAAAGCGATATGACCGGTTGGAGTACCAGTGGAGGTATGGCAGGTGTTAGACAACTTCAGTAAAGGGTGGTTGACAGATTTCCTTATCACGGTGTTATAGGCGAGAAAATACCGGAATTGTAGAGGAAAAGTATTCTGGTACCAATATTTAAGGGCAAGTCCGAAGACATGGTTGAGAGACTTGAAGATAAATAAATCGACAGTTGACAGGTACATTTGACAAAATAAATTTTCATTATACTGTTGTTTGTTGTATGTAGACATGAACAACGCGGAGCCGAAGGGACGTGGACGTAATAGGAGCAAGTCGGCCAAGAGAAAAAAGGAACGATCGGTGTCCAGGAAGGACAAGAGGTCCAAATCGCGACTAGCGCGGAGAAAAGAAAAATTAGCGGTGAACCGGGAAACAACCCCTCCACCCGCATACCGAGTGACAACCGCGGGCAAGGACTCCAGCGAAGTCAGCTCATTTAAAGGGATCCTGTGGACCTCTATTGTAGGTAGGGTAAAGGCGCCCCAATTGGACATGAAGACCACCAAGTCGGGCAAGGTTTATGTTAGAGGGATAAATGAAGAAACAAGGGCTGCATTAGTGGAGGTGGCTAAGGAAAAGACATACCTACTGAAAGCCGAAAGCGCAAGGTGGCCGAGAGTCCTTATTAGAGGCATCGACTCGTCACTGCGACCCGACCTGATCCCGCAGTCTATCGCATGCCAAAATCCGGACTTGGGCGTAGATGAAAAGACAGCGACAGAATATATAAAGCCAATTTTCAAACGTGGCCCGAAAGAGCAGGCAACAGTACACTGGGTAGTTGAATGTCACCCAAACCTGCACTCCCATATGTTAAAGAGAGCATTGTATATTGGCCTTTATTCGTGCCCAACCAGCAAGTTCGAGGAGGTGACGCAGTGTTATAACTGCTTTGGTTTCAATCACATTGGCTCCAAATGCAGAGAGGCCCGCAGATGTTCCCACTGCTCCTCAAAGGACCATATCAAAGAAGCGTGCCCTAACCTCGCCAACGACCCCAAGTGCAATAACTGCAAAGGGAAACACAATTCTCGGGATCCTACGTGCTCATCGAAAACAGCAGCTATCGCTGATATGTTGAGGCGTACCCAATTTTGTAAAGAACAATGAGCATCACAGCTCTAAAAATCGTGCAGCACAATCTAGGACGTGGCACAGTAGCGAGTGAGCAGTTATTAGAGTACTGCCAATCTATATGTGCTGACATTGTGCTAATACAGGAGCCATATACCCGCGGAGGCAGATTGATAGGGTGGGAGCAAAGCCCCTATCGCGTTGTCTTAAGCAAACCCGCAGCGCGGACAGGAGCACGCTCTGCACTGCACTACGCGGCGGTCGCTATCCTGAACC